GTGTGGCCGGCTTCTGAGTGCTGGTCTTGGGTTTCGAGTCCCGTCTGGGGATAATGCAGCGCAGAGCTTCTGCCTGCTTCTTCCTTAGCTCGAATTTTGCCTGGATAACGTCGAGAGACTGAACAAATAACCCAGCCGCCATAACTGGTTCATCCAGGTATGTGGCCCTCTGTCGGGGATATCAGAGAGTGTCAACCACAAATATCTCTGTGCCACCACAGTTGACGCCATCCCTCTGCCCAGGGAGAGTGCTACGCCACGGGACGCGTGGAGGATGTAGTCCGCGGTGAGTCGGATCTCGTTAAGGAGAGGCAGCAGGGGACTCTCGGCCAGTACCTAAGCTCCGAGCTCCGCCAGAGCCATAGCCTGGTAAGTCTGGAGCATGCTGATGGAGCTCAGGCCGCGAGCGGCGGTGGCCTGAGCTTTGTAGATTTTTTTTCTAACTGCGCAGCAGAAAATCTACAGAGATTGGAAGGGAGCGTGGTGGGCCCGCTCACACCTTGGCTGTGAGACGGGGCCAGATAAGCTGCTAGGGACGGCTCCATGGGGGTATGTTTACCAGTCCAGCCTTTTCAGCTCCTTCCAAGTCCAAATACGGTCCATAGCCGGGCACTGTGACGCAGGTGGACAGAGATTTGGTCCAGCAGGACGTTAGTTCCAAGACGAAGTCTGGGAACATGGGGAGACGGTTCTTCACTGTGGTCGGTTGAGTGGGGAGGAAAAATCCAGTGAACCGCGACGGTTTTTGTGCAGGGGGGGGGCAGGCCACTCCACCTCCAGTTTCTGAGCCGCGCGACGACATAAGGAAAGAAAAGACGTGTCCTGGTCTGCACCCGCAGCAGCGGGGGCTTCTGGACTCGGACCGGGTTCATCGTCGTCTTTCGACAGACCATGTATATCCAGGCCGATATCCAGCATGTCCTCCCCTCCGTGGTGGAGGTCCAGATGAAACTGGGAGGCCTCCTCCTCTTCGTCGGCTAACCCCTCCATATACTCCACTTTTTCTGCCCAGCTGGGAGCGGGGACTTCGACGGAGAGCTCCTCCTCGTCAGACTCAGATGGAACCGGGTTGCTAGAGTCGGAGAGGAAAGGGTCCTGGCGCGCGACTGCAGCCTCGCCCAGCACTTTCTCCAAGAACTTAACCCGTCTTTCCAGGGTTGAGCGTCGAAGCAGGCGACAAAATGCACACGCTTCGGGCTCCGTCAACGCCCTACGAGTGTGGACGATCCCCAAACAGACCAGGCAAGCCTCTTGCTGGTCCTTTTCATGGAGCGAGAAGCCACACCCCTGGGGACAGGGGCGAACTGAAGACTTCTGCTTCTTCTTGAGTAATTTTTTGCTCATCCCGAACCACAAAATTTACTCCTTCGTCAAGATAAAAAAGGTTTCTCAAAGTTAGCGCTCCATGGGCAGACACCGTTACCAGTAGGAAGCTGCAGCTGACACCAACAAAAGCTGTTAAACTAAATTCGAGAACCTTCGAGCAAACAAAGGTAATTAGCAGCAGCTAATTAGCTAGGTTGGGAGAGGTGTTCTAGCGAGGTGAAGAGCAGTAGAACTAAGGAGTGACTGTGATGCGACAGGATATACAGTATATGTGCAGGCGGTGCCTGACATCTGTCGTCATCACGTCACCTGCCTAAAGGCGTGATTAGAGGTGGCTTCAGCCAGGACACGCAGGAGCGTGGGTTCCCATGCATGATGTTGTACCGAGTGAATTGACTGAAAGGGAACATGTAGTTTAACTAAAACCTTTAATGAAAGGTAGCAATTTGTCTTCTCTTTAAAATCTCTTGATGCAACAAGCTTGAGCTTTGTTATTTTAGATTATAAATATGTTGTTTACAGCATCACAGTGCTTTCACACAGAGGATATTACTTCATCCTTTGACCCTTCAAGGTCCTGTTTGTGCTACTTCAGATATTAAAAGAGATTTCCTTTTTTGCTTTGGTTATGATTCTTTTTTCTGAGTTGCTGTTCCAGCAATATTCTGAAGCTAGTTTAAAAAAAACAACCTGCCCTTCACT